AAAATCTCAGTTTGGAGGGCCATGTAGCCCTAACATTTCGCCCTACCCCTCTATCTCAACTAAAATTGGGACACACTTACCCTAGACGTGAACGCCCAAAACAGAGGGCTAAGGGCTAAGTGGTAGGGGCAAGGGGTGAAATGGGATTGGGCCTTACTTTGCCCTGCTAAGCTTTAGCTCATCTATAGTTGCTTTTCTCACATCTCTAGCAGGAAACTTTTCTAAAACTGTAGTAGTTTCTTGTAAAATGCCTCTCAACGTTTAATTTTTACGAGGCTGAAGTCAGCTTCTGTCAGCAATTCACTATCTGGGCTCCAGAGGTCTCACTCTCCCGAGTACTAGCCCTGTTCCCAAAATCAAACCACCTGTACCTTATCTCCTTAATTAGTCACACCTTAAATACTCCTCCCATTCAGCCAGTCAGTGTGAAGTATTGCCAGTTCTTTCGAGTCTGACTACTGAGCGTTTGTTTTGTCTGTCTTGCTGGTGTTTTGAATCTCCTTTTGCCTTTTGTCCCTTTTGCTCTGTCTGCCTGTTTTTTTTTGGCCTGATTTCTCTGTTACGACTTTTTTTGCTTTGCCTTTTGACATCGAGTTTTGGACTGCCCTTTTATCAATAAATCTGCACATGGATCCTTGTCAAGTTTCTGAGTTGCTTCGTCACAGCTTCTCATTCACCAGCATCTTGTTCGGATTTTCCAGTTTCCAGTTTTCCAGGTTAAGGTGGAACGGGAAAATTCAAATGAGAATCTGACTTCAGCTTTGTGATTTTTTAGTGTTTGTTCATCTCCAAATTATTAATGTTCATCTTAAATCTTTCTCTTTGGCATTTCGTTAGCTGCTAGCCAGGTGAAATGTTTGCATTTTACCATTGTCAACATACAGACACAGAAAACACATGGAGAGTCACTTGTTGTTTTGAATAGTAAATAAAATGGCAATATTTGTGCTGTTGACATTGCGACACATGGTTCCTATCACCACCACTGTAAAGAAATCTGACTCTGTACATTTCTCTTCAATGAACCATTTAAGATAAAAAACACTCTGAATGACTTTGTTTACATCTTAAAGTTTGAATTATGAGAACATATTTGAAAAACCATCAGATTCCCCTTTAAGGACTATTGATAACTTTATATGAATGTTGGAATGATTAATAATTTGGCCACCCTCACAGCATGCTTGTTCCCTACATATTGAGGTGCACTGTGGAATGTGACTGGGGACGAAGATTCCGGTTCACTACTTGCTCCACCTGGAACAAAGATGTGATCCAAACACAGAGGTTGCTGTCCTAAAATACACCCCAACTAAACTAGTCAAATATGGCCTTAAAGTCTGGAAAGCATGTGGAAACGGAAGAATCTGGCATACACCGGCGGATCTGTTGGTGGACAGCCAGAAAAGAATCAGGAATGTGCAAGTGCAGTGCTTAAGGACACATGCAACAGTCTTTTACTTCATATGTTCTTGGCCAAAGCTTTTGACTATGGATGTTCTAAAGAAAGTCTTCAGCATTTCTTTCTGCATCTTTGACGTCTCTGCTTACCGTGCTCTTTGTGGTGTGGACAGATATCAACTTGGCCTAGAACCAGGGGAAGACCAAGAAAAGGAAGCTCTTCCTGGAAGAGCTGGGGAGTGAGCTGCACTCCTTTCCAAGATGCTCTCCCACTCATGTGCACGAACAAAGAGAATTGTTTTCTTTTTTTAGCTGAACCCTCCTGTTGTCTTCAAATTTACTGACTGATGATTTACTTTTATCCTTGGGGTCAATTTGACCCCAGAAATTTTAACCTGCCAGAAATATCGAAGTTCTGGTGGGAATTATGCCCCCTCCCCTCTCCCAAGTTATGTGAACTATCAGTGGTTCTCTTCATATATGGTTATAAAAGCAAAGGGACGTTTTTTTAAGATTATAAAATTGCATGTTAGTGACCTCAATAAATGTTGATATTTCTCATGTTTTATACAGCTATAAGAGCCTGGGGTGAAAAAATGTGTACACGACATACAAAGAAAAAAATGATGTCAATCATTTATTTAGAGATGTTGAACAGCGTATGGGGTCAAATTGAACCCAAAGATAATAGGAGGGTCAAACCAAACTGTATTTTTATGTTTGTAAAGTGCATTTAAAACATTTTACAGTTTTCTCTCTGTCTTTTCTATGTAGACAAAATTGTATTGGTTGATTAATTTTTTACTCAAAAAAAGCAAGCAACACGTTTTCCTCTGATCTTTACTGTAAGCAAAAAAGCACATAAATTGTGTTTATTTTACTTTAAGTGGAAATATTTGAGGTAAACATGGTTCCAAATTACAAACATTTTCATCGTGTCTAGGAATTAAACCATTTACATCTAGGTAAACACAATCAATCAGAAAATATATTAACACATCTCACGATATCTGATTTTTACATAGTTTCTTTGCTGACAGTGGCTCAAAAGAGTATAAGCGTTGAGTTTATTGCACAGAATTAGCAAATACATAAAATGCGGTTACAGCATTGATGCCAATGGCATGAGGTCATTAACGACATTCTAACATACATACATTTTTAATTCATGATTTACTTTCAATCTATAATTTGGGGAAAAGTGTTGAGCTTTAAAGTTACCTCATCAGTCAATGCCACGTTATCAAAGAAAATACCTCAAAATAATGAGAGAATTTTTTTCTTTTTCCCATGACCTTCCAGACATTTCAGTGAGGCCGCTTCCTGCTGAGCATGTAATTTGGGGAATATTCCAGATAGTTTATTGAAGTGAATGTGTTCAGGTAACACAGTTCAGCGAAAGTTGTGAGACACAACTGAAATGTACATTTTCATAACCTCCCATATGGAAACATGATATATGGGCATATATGGATGTCATGTTTGGAGAGGCTGGATGTAGTTGCAAGCAAATGTTTATAAACAAAAACAAACTAGGACAAACACTGAGAATGATACCAAGTAACAAACTACAAAGCTTTTAACCAAGAAATACACAGAGCAAACCAAATGCAGAGCCACATAACCACTACATACAACATAACACAGATTAGACAACCAAGAGCTGAAACAAAGGGGTAGATATAGCTAGAAACAATAGGGAACACCTGAGAGAGGGAGGAGACAGGAATTACAAACAGATGGAATCCTAATAGGGAAGATTAGGGGTGGGGGTGGGAGGTGGACCAAGGGACAGAGCAAAAGAACCAAAACAAAAACAAAAGCACATGACAAAAACACAGGGAAAGAAACAGGCACAGTCAGAGGGGAACTGAGGAAACTGTGCCAATGGACATATATAATGAAGGGTCAGGCATTTATTTCAGAATATATGTACATACATGTATCAAATATGTAGATAAATAGATCATACATATAAGTCTGATACTTGGTGAATACATACCAGTACAGTTTTAATTGTTACAATCTATCTGTTTGCTTCTAAATATTAACTAATTTAAATGTGTCATGGAACAATATTTTTTTGTTTCATGTAGAAATTTCATGCACAGTTTATATTATGCATGTATATATATATATATATATATATATATATATATATATATATATATATATATATATATATATAGTGAGAGAGAGAGAGAGAGCTAGCTAGATAGCTAGTACACAAGTGTTTGCTTAATTGGGACACATGCAAGAACAAAGATGAATAAAAGCCTTATTTAACATGAAGCTAGCATATATGAGTAATATATACGCCTTCCAAACATGAATAATGCTTTCTATCATATATTGTTAAATATATATGTTACACATATATGTATATGTTGATAAATGGTTGGAAAATATGTACCATATTTGAACATTTCAAATAAGTTTGCATATATGTCACATATATGTCCATATGTGACTAATATAAGTTGGATATAAGGGAAATCTATATATGATAATACACGTCATATTTGAAATCCATATATTGCCATATATCAGATGTATGGGCCATAATGAATGGCTAATGACAAATGTTTTGTAGATATGTCATTATATGTTTTAAGTTATGTATCTGAAACTTGCACATAGGGCTCTTTATCTCTGTTTAAAATGACCAAGGGGTGGCCAGGGTGGCCATTGTCATCCCAGAATGAAGCATAGCCACTCTTCTAGCCACTCCAGTTACTGAAAGTGAGACAGTCAGCCATCAGTAATAAAGCATCAATTACACTTTATGGTGAAAATATACCAATCAGTAAATAATTTCAGGCTAATTTACTCAGCAAACAGGCAAGTCAATGTGCATTGGGTCCCTTCACTGCTCTGTGAACTACATCATACAGTAGCTATTCGATGGTAGGTTTTTAATCATCAAAAATCATGTCGGCTATAATCATTTATTATGTTAATTTCTTTTGAATTCATGCATGTGTTGTAGGTTACCTTGTACAGTCCGGTCTAATCATTAGACTCATGTATAACCTGTAGAGAATGCAGCCTATTTAATCACTATATAAAAAGTTAACGTGCATTAAATAATTATGCATTTAAATTACTTAATTAAAATACATTATTTTCTTAAGAATGGCTAAAATGCTTTACATCAACACAGTTTTGTCTTCGGTTTACTTCTGGCAGTCATTGTATTGATATTATATTTATTCATGTGGAAATGATGGACATATATATCTGTGCAGAGAAAAAAAAAACTACGCTATTTTTGTTTTTTTTCTTAGCAGTGAGCCACTCCAATAACATGTCTGGTCATACCTGGTCACCCCTTTCTAAAAGTTCCGCCCCTGTTTATAACTATAATTATGTAGTTCCTGCATTCAGTTGAACAATTTACAAATTAAAATGCAAATAAGAACCAGAACTGGGGTAAAAACAGAGGCTGCATGCCAATGAAAGTTCTAACACGCCATGGCAAACGTGTAAAAATGGCAGTGAGACTGAAAGCGCAACACTGCTTCTCCTAACAACTACATAACCCATAGTGCATCGCAGCTCGGAAATGACGACTTTACAGGCGGCTCTCTTCTTCCAAAATAATCGCGCTTTGTGCGGCCAACATGTCGGCGCCCATGGAGGTTGTGTTATCAGCCGATTCGGCTGGTCAGCTGTGGAACTGCGCGGTTTTCGACCCTCACACTGGAACGAATCTCTTGTCCTACCGAGGGGGAAACTCGTCTGCCCGCTCGTTAACCGTCCTGAACGGAGAATACATCCTGGGAGCTCAGCTGGGGAAGAACTTCATCAACGTGTGGGAGATACAAAGAAAGGTAGGGGAGGCTGAGAAACAGCACTGAGCTTTGTCGAAACACCGTGTACGCGATACATGAAAGAAAAATAGTCACAAAAAGAGATAAATAGTAGTCACTGGTTTGATAAATAAAACCTAATAACGTCAGTAGTAGTCTATTCATGGTCCTGTTCCATGGCTGCTTAGCTGTAAAGGAGAGAAGACACTTATAGCGAGCTGTCAAGTTGAACACTAGCTAAGTGAGCATTCTAGTGTGTATGAAGTAATTTAATAGAATAAAGGTTTGTTTCTTTACGCTTCACACAGATTTTCAGCTGGCTAGGTGACCGTTGACCACATGTGGTCTTACATATTGGGGATTCTCTGCAAAAATGCTTGGATTTCAGTGCAGTCTTGGCTACTGCTTTGGGCTGCCCGACTCCACACATATAGAACCACAGCATTACACACTTGCTATGTTTGCCCTGCTCTAACTCTACTGAATTCACTTAATAATCTTCAGACAGTTACATGAAGAGTTGATTTGGATTTGTTATGGTAGGGAATGAAGTGCAGATCCCCAACTTTGGAGTTAAAAACACTGGGGTTGAAAAAAGAGGCTGCATGGCAGTGAGATTTCTATCATGCCACTGCAAACATACATTGACGTTTAACTGTCAGAATAAATGGACTGAACATGGAACTGGCACTTAAGTAGTAACCATGCAGTAAAAAACAAAGCCTACAGAAGAACACAACGTCAGAGGATCCAGACAGCCATTTTAATTAGTGAATTCAGCTACTGGTTGTCTATAGAAAAGCACTGTCAATAGAAAAGGACACTCTGGAGTAGCCACACATGAGTCTAAGGTCGTTCCAGTAGAACGGCATTTATGATCCAGAACTAATCGTCCAACATCAGTATCTGACCTCACTGATGCTGTTGTGGTTGAATGCAATCAAGTCCTCACAGCAATGTTCCAACATCTAGTGTAAAGCCCTCCCAGAAGATAGAGACTGTAGCTGCTGCAATGGGGGGGCGAACTCCCTAATAATACTTGTTTGGTGTCTACAAATGCATAGCACTGCATGTTATTAGAGTCTGTTTGCCGCTGAAACTTGTTCAGTTCGCGTTCCCAGCAGTCCCATTTTCAGTCCCACTTTTCCCAGCACTTCATCTGTGAAACATGGTGTAGGTAGCATTATGGGGTTGATAGCATGTGTGTTATATGCATCATTGACATAATGTGCATTTTTTATGTTATTCAAGAATGCCTCTTTTATGTGAATCAATTTTAATAGCATCTTTATAAAGGTCAATTTTTATTTATGTTTTTTTTTGCCTCCAAAAGTCTAAAGATGTCGGATGGTGCAACTGTGCAGCCATATATGTTCAGTAAGTTAACTATCAAAAAAAGTAATTTAGTTATATAAAATTCTAAATAAAAACATTTGGCAAGATTTTATGCTTGAAAACTTTGAAATAAAAACCATGTTGCTAAACAAAGGACTTTTATTTTGGAATGCTTTTAAGAAAGAGGGGTATTGCATTATAAAGAAGACCCAAGTGACCTTCTTGGTTCAATGCCAAGGTCAGTAGCCCTTTCACAAATTTTGGAAATATTGTGATTTTTGTATCATGGTTAGAATGGTTCAGTTCAGTATGTCAGGTGGTCTGACATCTGGAAAACAATGAAAACGTGTAATTATTATTATAATGTTTATTTATTTGAAAAACGAAATGTAAGTATACTCAAGTTCAAGGACAAAGGTTTCTATGGGTGTCTAAGTAGATGCCTGTTTAGTTTAAAATTAGTCTGAAAAGCCAGGTGGCATAACCAGTAATAGTCATATGGTGCAAGCAGACCAGCACAGTTTTAATAACTGAAATAGGCAATTAAAAGCTTTAATAACACTGACTATATTTAAGATATGAAATGCACACAGATATAAATCCAAATACATATGCAGGTATAAAAAAGGAACATCCTGTCCCTTTTAAAAATTGTGATTTTTGAAACTTTAGTTGTTATTGACCCATATTCTTCTTTAAGCATGATGTAACTGCTGTGAAACCACTTGGCTGGTTAAGTCAGACATCTGGTGAGACCTCAGGTTGCTAAATCAGACAAATGACATGCAAACATGACATCCTTACCAAAACATTGTGTGCACATTAGGGATGCATATATTAAATAATTACAGTGATGAATGAAAAATCAGTAGTCATTACAACAGGGCTGAATGATCTGGGGAAAATACATAATTGTAATTTTCTGACCTATTATGTGATTCAAATGCGATTATTTTCTAAAATTTGTTAAGACAGTGTTGAACAATGTAAGTTAATTAAAATTGCTGTCATTTGAAAATAGCTTTTTTTTACATTGCGATTTCAATAAAGGATTAGTTCTTCAGCCCTAGGTTGCAGTGAATTCTATTATAAGTAGACTGTTATGAAATAGATTTCTAAATAGGATTTAGTGAGTGATGCAAGAGCTGAGCTTCCTGAATGGCTTTTCACTGTCATTCAAAGATAAGAGATCTTCAGTTCTGGGCCTTGAATCCAGTTTCCAGGCCATGACAGTTAATTAGGTGATTAATTAAGTGGTGGTAATTGAACTGTTAATGTGACTTATTGGCCACCTAGTGTCATACTTTCCAGTGATTACAAGATAAAGGATCGGATTCAAGGTCCAGAATTGATTAACTCAGCAATGCGTAATAAAGAATAATGAGTCATTGACTATTTAACATAAATCTGTTTTGGTTACAGTGGAATAAAAATTTGAAATGCAAAATAGAAAATATAATCTTGATGTAAGTGACAATACATCTAAGTGATCTTTGGTCTTTACATCTTTCTTAAGGGCTGCAATACAAAGTCACTGAGAGTGTCGTTTCAAAGAAAGGGTGACTTTGGATCTCAGTAGCTAAATATAAAATGAACTCCACCTTCAGTGTCTCTCAACCCATTTCCTCTTTCTCTCTTCTGTGTTCCTACTTAGGACCAGCTGCAGCAGAAAATTGTGTGTCCTGGGATTGTAACCTGCCTAACGGCGTCTCCCAACGGCCTCTATGTGCTGGCAGGCATTGCTGAAGCTGTATACCTGTGGGAGGTGAGCAACCAGCCAACTCAAAACTTTCGGTCACTAAGTTTTCGGGAGTCATTAGTGGTCTTTGAATCAAGACTGGAAACATATAAATTCTGATGGACCCATGCAAATAACTGGGCTTGAAGAGAATTTATCTCATTTATTTTTCCCCTTGTTTTTCAAGGCATACACTGCCCATCACGTTTTTGAGGACACAAAACATTTTATAAAGTGTTAATATAAGCGATCATCATTACTTTGTTGATCTGCAATAACTTAACGTTAAAAGACTATTCTGGGGGTCTCTTTTGCTAAGATATTTAACTTTATGCTTAGTTTGGTTAGTTTTTACCAGGATGCATCACCATGACAACTTATTCTGCATGTTTAACGTCCAGGGCAGGTTAAATTAGGCAATTTCGGATCATAAACAGCTCTTGGATCAATCAAGGCTGAGCTTCTGACCAATCAGGGACAGCCTTCTGATGGAGGGAGACCCTCTGGTCATTTTTGGGTAACTTTTTTTTTTTCCTTCTTGACGTTTGTGGTGTCAGTCACATGACAAAAAAGCGGAAGGAAAAAATGGTACTATACATTTATCAAGATTATAAAGCAGCTATTACTCCAGTAACAGCTAACCTGGTGGCATGACTTTTGACATAATTCAGAATTTGCTTTGATATGATACAGGGGTGTCGTGATGTGATACATTTTTGGCTGAAAATGTATTAGTTCATTATAACATTCAATGTTGTAAAAGTACTAAAAAGTTTAATGTTGTTACATCCCAACTTTCAACATATTAAGTCAAAAAATTAAGCCAATCATCTCTGTATGATGTTTCATGCCATTTGCCATAAGCGCCGCGCTGTCATATTCATGCGCACAAGGATTCATCTTGGCATGAGTTGTTAACCACCTTCGTACTGAAAGTTAACCACGGTTGTGTTTGTTTGGTTTTGAGAAGCTGAAACTTGGTCAGGAACACTGTCTAAGTTGAACTTGCTTTGTGAGAAAAGCCCCAGGCTTATTATGAAAAACACAGGCACAGTAATTACTGTACTGTCCTGGATAAAATCCAAACTTAATGCGTTTTAGTGCCTTGTTGTGATGTCCACACTCATCAGCATTCAAATCTTTCAGCTGTTTAAAGGACCTATCCTCATTATTTATGCTGCTCTTCCTACCAAGGAAGGTACTCTGATGATCATGAAACTGTGGGCTGCAAAGCAAAACCAATATACTGATTGTTTTACATTAACAAACATTTTAACTTATTTTTTCTTAATTAATTCAAGAGTAACAGGGAGAAACTTCAAATTTCAGAAGTCAAGCCAGGCAGAAAGTGATGCAGGTCAACTTGTTTACACCAATAAACATTCACACTCAAAACAAAGCAGAGTTTTTGAACAAGTGAAATGGAGTTCTGAAGGTAGCCTGTGCAAGGCTGACTGACAGTCTGAATGGAATCTAGTCCTTTTGAAGAGTATGAGTAACCCTCCTGTTGTGTCCTTCGCAATCTTTTAGTTTGTGCAGTTGTGCAATACCAGCTACATTCAGCTCTCTGGACTTTTTATCTCTTATTTTCAATTTGTTTTTCCCATTTTAATTGCTATACATTATGTCTTTGCTATAGGTCTCAACAGGAAACCTGCTGGTTATTTTGAATCGACACTATCAAGACCTGAGCTGTCTGCGTTTCACGGATGACAGCAGCCATTTTGTGTCTGGAGGAAAGGACAATCTAGCACTTGTGTGGAATCTTGCCAGGTATGTTGGCTAATTTACTCCTTCTCCTTTTATTATTTCCAATGTCAATACATTTTTGAATGCTTGTTAATGGGGTCATACCGGCAGTACTCAGTAAGAGCCAATTTCGTGCTTTTTCCATCCACTCATCCAGCTCATACTGTTGATATAAGCCTTCGGGTCCCCATTTATCACTAAGATTATAACAGCTTTGCAGAAACGATCCCACAGATATTGCGGTGTGCAATTGAATGTGTCATGCTTTTTGATTTGTATGATGTTTATTGAATCTGATGTGTTTCATCTCGTAATTTCCTATTAGGCCTTCTGCAAGTCCTTCTGTTGTGATTAGATGAGCTCTAACGTGAGATGAAACCAGGGCCCATACATATGAGAGTTCCTGAGTTTTCTTCTGTTTATAAGGAATTGAAGAGTATAGATGAAGGCAGTATTGTTTAGATTACTAATTACAAATATGAATGCTTTGAAAACTACATTATCACACCATCAGAGTTTTGCTAGTAATACAGTATTGTGTGTGTGGAATGGGGTTGCCTTCTCGTCCTGCATAGGACACAAACTTTGCTTACATGGTTACCAAATAAGTGAACACACTGGCTTCATTCAATAAATGTCAAATAATCTATCTTACATTTGACTAATTAGTGCCACACACCACAGTACAGGGTTGATTCTGACTATCTGGTGCTCTGCTGACACACATGTAGATGATAACTAATGTCTGAGAGAGCAAAAGTCAAATGACTGTTGTTGGATTGACTGAAAGCCAAAATCAAACCTGTTCTGTGGTGTTTGGGAATGTAGCGTTAACCAAGATGACGCGATCAGCTGTGATAATATAAGATGAGATGGCAGTTCTGTGCTGATCGGTGTTGGGGGGAAAGCATAACGCCCGGCTTGGCCAATCAAATCAGATCTCATACGCTGTAAGCCAATCATATCCAACCTTGACGTCAGCAAAGCTCTTCCAAGTGTTAGAAGCTCTCTTCAGCACAGAATCATCAACATTTACAACATTTACTTTACATAAGTTAGTTTGGAATAAATCATTGCTGATCACTGCTATTACAATACGCTAAAGTACTGATGGGTACAATCTACAGCCATTTAGTTCTGCAGATATTTGCGCTGCAATGGAGTGTTTGTATTGCTGCTGTAGCTAAACTTATAGTATTTCGGGACACTGTTACAGACACTTTTCTTTGTTTGCCTCTTGTCTGCTACAAGCTGGTGTGTAACGTGAACATGGCTTTTATTGTCAGAAAATTGTGAAATAAAATTAAACTAACAGGAAAAGAGCACTAATTGAATGTTAACTGGATTGCTTCAGCTCAATTTTCCTGTGTGCAACAATAAAATTGCTATCAGTGAAGTGTAAATGACATGAACAGGTCCACTTTGGCTAGCTAAGTTAAATCTTTGAGATTTCACTAAAGTGTTTATGATGGGCTAATATATGAGAAACAACACACGGCAACCATTTCCAGCTATTTTCTTGTTTAAAAGAAGAGTATAAAGGTGTGTGCCAGTCGTTGATCACATACTTTTCCATTTTGTCTTTTGCTGGTCAGACAATGTAAGAACACTGGTTTTCTGAGACGCTGGCCCAGTGCTGTAAATGATCCCTAACCGTCGCAGCTCCATCCTGCTGTTACTTGTCTCACAAAACCTTTGTTTTTTTGTATTAGACACATCGTGTCTCGTTAGAAATATGGACATGTGATAGAAAACGTGTTCTAGATGACAAACAAGACATGCAGTTTGTTATGATCTACGTCCACAAAACAGCGGTTTGTTCAGGGTATTCAGGCATTTGCTCTGTTTACTCCCACTCACTCACTCAGAGCCTCTGGTCTCCCTGCTCACACCCCATGATACCTTTTAGACTAAAGATTCCCGTCTCCCCCTAGGAGAGGGTCTCTGGCTTCAAACATCATACTGAACAGTTAAAATATTGAAGAACTCAACTTTTCAGCTACTGAAAGACTCAGTAAAGCTCTCCATGCTCCTTTCACTTTTTCAAAATGGAAAGTAGCCTGTCCAGTGGCACCATTTGCTTGCTCATTGAGGAGCAAGAGAGATTTCCAAGTCCTGTGGTCCTGTGGCAAGTTACCAGCTGCATATTTCATAAGATGAAATAATAATCTTTTTGATAGATATTCCGCCTGTTATTTTTCTCAAGTGCAAACAACACAGCGAAATTCCGAACAAATTCATGTCTTGTCCAGTGAGTATAGTTTTGATGCAAAAAACAAAACTGTGTCCAAGTATTTCACATTTTTGATTTTCGTGTCATTTATTTGCTTCGAGTTTGTTGTGTTATGGCCTTGTCATTTTCTGTGATCACTGAGCTTCAGTCATGCTTTCATTAGGTTTTTCCTGGCTCTGATTTTTTCCCTTTTTCTATCGGAGCCTCCTGTCTGTGAGCTTCCGTACCACCAGTAAGTCAGCTCCTCTAAAATCTTTCGTTCAGACACAGAATACAAATCTGACACATCATAATTTTGAAATACTGTTATCGTTTTTGTCTACCAGTATCATTTTTAAATACGGCTTGCTTTCCCAAAAGCATCTTAGCAAAGACGTTTCTTAGATGGTAGAGCGAGCATCACAATGAACACTCCCTCTGTCAGTTAAGGTAATCTTAACACTAAGGGGCTGTTCACACATTGCATTAACGTGTTCGGATCGAATGTGGATAAATTTCGGCCGATTCCATGTACACTTTTCACTAAAACGCGTCCCCAGTGTGATCAGATAAGATCCGATTGTACTGTCCTGAGTTTCCAATATTCTTTTGTGTACTATTTTCTCATAACAACATGAGTCACGAATTGTAGACAGATAACGAAAACACATTCTGGTTGCGCTTGTATAAAAAGCGGCTAAAATCCGTCTCTAAGCATCTCCGAATTTGCTTTGAATGGTCCAATTGTGATCCCATCACGGTGCATCCAGTGGGTGTTTAAACCTGGCTTTTCATCCAGTCAAGTGAAATCCAAATGTGATCTGATCACCAAAAACATATATTTGCATATGCAAATTTGTTTAAAAAAATGTACTGCATCCACAATTTGATCCATGGTTTGATTTCCATTAGCATTTCTTCAGTTTCTTCCATCCTCCAGAGGTCACAGCAACAGCTTGTTCCTGTCTAATATATGTAAAACATGTCTGCTATGAACTGATCAGCAGCTTGAAGTCATGATGACTTGGCTCTTTTTAGTGTAATTAGAATGAATATCCCTAAAGATGTAGAGCTGAAGAGTAAATCTACTTTGCCATTAAGGGCGCCGTAATGATCATAGTAGTTTTTTTCGACTCTGCACTTTGAATACAGATCAGCTATGCGCTGTATTTTGGATCCAATATTCCAGAATGTCCTTCATCTTGAGGCTCAATAGAGTGTGCAGCTCCCAGTGGTAGATCTTGCCCAGTAGGTGGCAATGTATGTCTTTCCACAATGTGAAAAAGCTCTGAGAGAGAGAGAGAAATGGAAAACGGATGTAGTCTTTTCTCTGTGTCTTTGAGAAGACCTCAACTACATAATAATGAGTGAAAGAGAAATGTAAATGCAGCTGAATATTGTTATTCCAAAAGTAATATTAGTGTTCATTGTCAGTTGCTGGAGGAAGCCGAATGAATACATGAATGTAAGATAGGTTTTTAGGGTCCTCTCCAACAGGTAGTGCAAATAATGGGCTGGTGGATTAAGTGTGAGGATGCCTTGCAGGCTGTTTGGCAGTTGGCGGCTCAGCCAGGCACTCCACTCCACTGGTAGCGATGGTCTTCTGTGCCAACTTGTTCTCTAATAATCACAGGTCATTACACAGTGGAGCCTCAGAGAGGCTGCTGGATTGAAGTGTTTTGCTGGACAGCTCCGTTCCACTGTTAATTTGATGAATGCCAGAAGTTCAAGGGATTACGCTCACTGGAAAACACAAAGTGCTTCGCTCTAATGGAAACTTGGACGGAGCTTGATTGATTTCCGAGCGGGAGTTTCCATGAACGGAAGGTTGAAGGAGAAGGCTAGTGGGCTTTTCAAGGTGTGAACTTCCCTTGAATGTGGAATGAATGCGTATGTCATGTTTGTTTGATAGAATTTTATAATATGCTTTACCACTCCAAGGAGCTGGACCTTGGGCAGTAATATATGGGGGAAGATAGGAAGTGCACCGGTCCTGCCATGAGAGAAATAAATAATTCAGGATCACTCATTCGGTGGCATTTTTGAAAGGAGATGACGTGCATCTTTTATTCTGTCTCCATAACCGTCCGCAGAACGGGCTCTCCGCCAGGCCGGACCCCAGAATCAAAATTCCTAGGCTGTCTCAAAGAGCCACAAGGTCTTGGCTTAAAATTCAAACAGTGGTGGGTGAACTCTGCTTTGGATCTGTGGCTCAGAAGCACCTCGAATCTCAGCATTTGTCTTAACTTCACTTTTGAAGGTTTCAGGTTCATCTTTGCAGTAGATGTTGTGAATTGGTGGGCAATAGGCCAACATATCCCCACTCCCCCCAACCCCCGAATTTCTTCAGCGTATGAAAGACATGCCCAAAGGGACTCAGACCAGGTGACTAACTTGGCTGGTCAAGAATATTCCAGCTTTTAGCTTAAAAATCTCATGTGTTGCTTTGACAGTATGTTTGGGATCATTGTCTTGTTGAAGGATGAAGTGCTGTGCTGTGCAGTGAGTTTGGAGGCATTTTCCTGGACTTGGGCTGGTTTCTGTACACCTCAGAATTGATTTTGCTACTGCCATCACCAGTTACATCATCAGTGAAGATGAGTGAACCATTACCTATAACAGTCATATAGTCCAGTCCATAACAGCCCCACCACCGTGTTTTACAGATAATGCGGTATGCTTTGGATCTTGGGCAGCTCTTGCCATCATTCAGATACAAGTTAATGCTGGTCTTGTCTGTCCACCTTTTTTTTCCAGAACTCAGCAGGCTCTTTTAAGTACTTTTTAGCAAACTGTAATTTAAATCTTGTTT